GTTATTCAAAATAATGGAAAAATAACTCCATGTAATACTTGACTAGATCACATCACAAAAATAAAATAGAAAGATTTATTTCTTTATCATATCTATGTTTCATAAAGCCACTTGTTTTTATGACTTTAATATGGTCATAGACCACACTCCATACATAAATAGATTATCAAAGCTGTAAGAAGTGGAAAGCGATTCTGTGAAATTTCAAAATGTTATTTATGTAAATATTTGCTCTCTTCCATGGAGCAAATTTTTTAAAATGATAACTTCCCTACTCCACAGTTATCTTAAAATCAAGACCTCAGTAACACAAGAGGCAACAGAGATTGAGTGAGAAACAGATAAACAGAACACTACTTTAATTGCTTGATGTTTGATAATTATAGCAGCATAGTAAGATTGGAGGTTAATATAAAAGTTTAATATAAAATTTAGTGCTTGACAATGTTTTTGAAGGAAACAGGGACAATAATATAGCAATGGCATTCTAGGAGGCAGTTCCAGGCATTGGAAAGGACAAAATCATTTGATGAAACAGGACACGTTTAGATAGTTGAAAGCTGAAGAACAATACGAATAAGTATCACAAATGCACAAAAGCTTAGGTGCATAAAAATGGGAAAATGGATTATTATCCAACACAATAGTCTCTACAACTTAGTGATACAGTGGTACCTTGGTACTCAACTGCTTTCAAATTCATAGAATTTGGTACTCAACACATTTTGATGCAAAATTTTTATCCTGGTACTCATAGTTTGTTTGGTATTCGACATACAAGCTAGCACTTGTCAGTGTCAGCTGTCTTGTGACTCAATACATTATTCCTTATAGGAAAATTTTTTGGTACTCATCACGCCTCCCAGAACCAATTAATGATGAGTGCTGAGATACCACTGTATATTTAACAGATCCATCAGCTAATCCAAGATAAGCCATGCATGTTTTGTTTAGATTCCAATCCACAATCATAGTTGAAGGGAAAATGTGCAATCTTCTGTTGCACTCATAATTTCTGAATCAGTCACAGTTTTGGGATTGAGAAGGCTCAGATAAAATAATGTTGAAAATAGATAGAGAGTATCACATAAATCAAGCTTCACAGTTGTTGCATTTGTATAGTAATGCCTTTTGAAATATGTTGCCTGTTGAAAAGTTAGATGGTTTTGGGATTATTTTCATGGACCAATATGGCTAGGATTTTTTTAATTTGTCAGAAAATGAAATGGATACTATGATTAAACTTTATTATAGCCATAATTTTCAAATATGACAAAAATATCAAAATGCGGCTTAATGCTGTATGTCTTTGGTAAGCCTTCACAGTCAGTAAAAAAAAACAGAATATATTTTATTACATAAAAAAAATCCTAATGTATTATTTTCCCTTGACTAAGATAACCTTTCACAGAAGAACTGGGGAAACAAAACAGAAAAAAGAGCTGCTAGAATGAAATCATGCAAATGAACTAAAAATGCACTGCTTACTTGGAAAAAATAACAAAATTAATTTATTCTGCTGTACAAACCATTTTGGAATAAAGAACTGTTGGTCCTTTAGAAAGATAATATAGAAAAAATAAATTAAAATGTATATTAAATCTGTGAAGAAAAATGCAATACCACTAGTGCTGGACACTAATACCACCCATGGACTGCTTGTGATCCTACACTACATGGTCATTTTATAGTCTTGGTGTAAGAGTATTTTTATTGTGCTGTGTACTGCTCCCAGCTTCATATGGAGGTCTCCTTGGAGAAAGTCATGATTGATTTGTAGGCTGTGTCAATATTCAGCAACAGAACTGAAAGGCCCCATCCACAGAGAAGCTGAAAGGGTCATGCAGAGCAGAGAAGCTAGCATAAGCCACAGGGAACAAGCAGAGTGACTCCTTCTAACACCACAAATTGCTTTGAAGAAGGTGGCAAGGTTTGCTTTGACTAAATTTGAAGGAGGGGCAAATACATGTACATTATAGGGATGACCTAACCTATTAAAATATTCCATTAATGAATAAAGACCATCTGATATACAAACAAAACCTTTATATATATAGTTTTAACTACCCTGGTGCCCATTTTATTTTATATATGTATGTATGTATGTATGTATGTATATATTTGTTTTCTGAGGTTTTCGCGGGTGTTTGTATGTAGGTCTTTGGTTATTCGGGTTTTCTCCCGTGTAAAATTGGAAGTGTCTTGGCGACGTTTCGATGAAGTCCCATTCGTCATCTTCAAGCTGAAAACACCAGCCTGAAGATGACGAATGGGACTTCATCAAAACGTCGCCAAGACACTTCCAATTTTATGCGGGAGAAAACTCGAATAACCAAAGACTATATAAAAAAACTCTGGTCTGCATCATCCATGGATATGAGAAACTATAGTATTTACATACTTATATAAAATCAGTGCTTGATAGCTGCCATAACTCACATTTACAGAACAGAACCACATATCCTACGTGCCCTTAATCCAAGATTTGATGGCATTTATCATCATTCTTTTTATCCATGTTGTGTCAAGAAATAGATTATTTCTCTTGTCATGAGTAAGTTACTTAAATATTAGAATACAGATATGCAGGCTAGGCCAAGGAATTACTAGTTATTAATTTATATCATTCAGATCCATTTCCAGTGCTTAAGCCAGAAAATTTTAAATAAACAAAACATCCCAGAACTAAGCTCTAAGTACCTGAACTGTGAATGGCCTTAAGACAAAAGGTTTTCTAAGGAACATCACAGTTATCAGGATTAGCTAGGGAAGACATTTCTGTTATAATAATACTGCAAAAGAGATTCTGTAGAGAGCAAACCAATATGCTGTACATTTCATGCAACTTTAACCCAGAAATGTCAAACAATTTCCCATTGAAAGCTCCTACATTCATTCAGATTTGCATTGCAAAAAGACTACAGTTGGCTATAATACTAAATATATACCCATCTGAGTGAAAAATCTTTGTTTACTGGGACTATTGCTGAGCTGACATGCTATAGAATTCTCTGAGATTCAATTTCACTGAAGTTAGAAGTCACATTTATCGTCTTCCCCAGATCTGTAATGTGCTGCAGTGGCTAGAGAGTGCTTCTGAAGATGAAAAGCTATGTAGTTGAAATTCCAGCAGTTCAGGAACAAGCTTTAAAACAATAAAGGCAAAGATTCTTCCAAACACAAACACTGTCCTGTTGAATTGGTCACTTCACATGGAGGAGATTAAAAAAAAAGTTCATATAAAAAGAACATCAATATTTGGAAGAAAAAGTGCTGTCTCCTAATACACATGCCAGAGGATCAGAGCACAACTGAGCATCAATTTTGTAACTGGGTCTGTTTTTTTGGAGGAGGATGGGATAATAAAATAGGTTTTAAGGCCATAAATCACAGGTCTGGGGAAAGCGCTAGATCAGACAGGATTATAAACTTCCTGGTTTTTGAATCTGGGAAGGAAGGTGGGAAAAAAAGACACCTTGACTCTTGAAGAGAAAATCTACAATTTTAGGATATCCATTTCATTCAAGAGCTGCAAAGTAGGACTAGGATAAAATCATATCACCAGAAGAACTGGCCATTTTGGTAATTTGCTCCTAATGTTTTTTTTTTGTATTTGTATCTGTTGAATCTTAAAAAGGCTATGTTAGTTTAATTGATTAATTTTAAATAATGTTAATTTTTCAACGAAAACCAGTAGAAAAAACCAGTTTTCAGTGACACGATCTTGAAAAATTTCGGGGCTGCCCATAGGTGTGTTTTTTAACCTTTTATGCAGCATAGTAATGCTATAAAAATTGATTTCCATTAAAAGAAGCCACAAATGGGTTTCTGTCCCTAGATGCCAGCCTGTGCAGTGTGCAAGCATTTATCAAGTGTGTCCATTAGTTGGAATACAGAATAGTGCCTAATTGAATCTATAGATAGTGAATGACTGGAGGCTGTGGAAATCTGGGTGGGGAGGAAAAGGCTCAGTCTCAGTTATGACAAGACCTGTTGGCTGAGGGCATTTCTATCACTTGGATCTGGAGATGCTCCCCTTTAGTCCTAAGTCAAGTTGCACTAACTCCTTCAGGACTGATGGATACTTTGTGTGTTAAGGAATAGGTGGCAGCTGCAAGATTTCATACATTAGTATACCATGATTCAGTACAAATTCAAGTACATCAATTGTACCTGTATCTGCCCTGGAGACTCCTTAAAGTACCTACTTATGTTCTAGACACCTTGCCTGTGGTCCACTGCAATGCATTCTACATGGGTATGCTTTTGTACACTACATGGAGCTACAGCCAATTCAGAATGCAGAGATATGGACTACTGTGGGCATGTCTCTTTCCTGGAGCTGCATAGATTTCATTGGGAATGAAATTCAAGCTATGGTTATACTCTATAAAGCCCTTCATGGCTTAGGCTCAAGTTACTTGGTGCTAGTCCTATGTGGTTCAGCAAAGTTGGCATTCTCAAGTTCCATTGATTAAGCAATGCCATCTGAAAAGCTAAGGAACTGGTGCTTCTCTGCTGTAGTACATATTCTTTGGAATGATGTTCCCCAGAGATCCATCACACTACTTTATTTGGATGAGCCCTTAAAATCTGGCTCTTTTCCTAGCCCTTGGGCTACAATGGTGGCAGTCCCCTTCTGGGATGGCTGATTCATGAGATGGAAATTGCTTTTCTCTGTTTCTGTAGGTAGAACATGGACCAGAGTTGTAATAAAGTCAAGTGGCTTATAAATGTAACAAAAACCCCATAATAACATAAATATAAGGAGAGAAATGTGACTAAAGGGGCAGAGATTCTCTAGAACAATAGGTTAGTTGGTAAAATGGGGACAGTAATTTACTTTGCAGTAAGGACAGCTTTGGCAGGAAGATTAAATCGAGAATCAAGTTATTATTAAAAAAAAAGTACATTCATAAAGACATTATTTCCACAATGCCTTTAACATTTAAAATACTTAGTAAAAGTTTAAAATAAATCAAAACTATACTTTATGATTGGTTTTGGATTTTACTCTACTCCCCAATTTTCAGTATATTTATACGTCTATATTTACTGAACAGCTGATTTGTATCTCATATAGTTTCATATATACCGTTTCCAAAGCCTATAAACTTATAGTACTGAAATATCGTTCATCCAGCTATAAACTGAGATTCTCTAAAGCACATCATAGCAATCCAAGTCAACCAGGACAAAGTATTTCACCTATACATTAGTAGAATAATAGACCCAAATAGCATGGGTAGATATTGGATTCAATTGATGATATGATCCAAATATTCATTAGTTTAGATAAAAGACATAGATTTTCTGGATAAGGACATTCCTTTTCTACAAAATACCTCTTTACTCTTACTTTTCCATTCCAACAACTTGGGTGAAACATGGAAAGTAATACATATAACATCATTTCTTTTATATGAATGAACATCTTACTTTTGTTCTTCTGTATTGACATTTATATAATGCACATTATGATAACATGTCTTTCAGTTTGCAAAATAAACTGATTCATTCTAAAATATTGTAAAATAACATTATGTGGGATTTCATCTATTAGTTGCAAAATATAAACAGAGTTTGGTGTTCTTTTAGTTATGTTAATTTTTTAACTGAAAATGGCCAGCTGCCTTATATTTGCACAGTAAAGAGTAACGGCACTGAATTATACTAAATAAAATTTAATTAACCATTAATTTTCTCTCTTTCTCTCTCCTCTCAGCATAAATTACGTTTTTGCTTTTTATTGTTTTTGATTTTTATTGTTATGTTTTTTTAAACTCCTGTAACAAAGCAAATGTTACCCACTTCTAAATTTGGAATTTTAGGATTGTGAGTTGAAAATTTACAACCAAGAGACTCAGAAGCATTTTGTTAACTTATGAACGTTGACAAATCTTAGAAGCAAAAGATTTGGCATTGTAGGTGGCAAATAAAATAATTTGCAAAGTATGGAATTTATTACATGTGTAATGTACTACTTGATAATTTAGTCAACTTTCACAAAACTAAAAATCTTTATTACATTTTATACAACCCATTTTATTTTTCTCAGTTTATTTTATTTCTTTCTGTTCATGACAGAGAAAAATACGTCATGTTTCTGTTCTAAGAGGAAAATAAAATTTCACTGTTCAGTACCAACATCTACAATAGTTCCCTTTAGGAACTGTTTATCTATTCTACAAATGTCATATTTCAATGGCAATCATAATATATACACTTTAGAGCCCTTTTCTTTAATTGTGGAAAGATAAAAAGGAAGTTACATATTGCATATTTGATTTTTTTACTTTACAATTAGTTAATTACTTTTAAGAAGATATATTGAATAACCATGCATTCATTCCCCAGGTCTTTATTTATCATGCAGGCAATGTTCTTTTTTTTTTTTTACATTTTTTTTTGTAATCCACCACATTTTCTGTGGCTTCATCAAAGGCCAAGACCAATGGACTTTCTTTTTATCTTTAAAAGATAGGACATTCTGAGGAACAAAAATGCTTCTGATCAGGCAAAGGCAAAGGAAAAAAGGAATGGCTGGGAGCAGAGTGGGCACAACTAATGGTCAGCACTTAAATGTCCTAGACCTGAATAGATGCTATGAGGATGACATACCAACAGTCTTTCTACAGTTCCCTATAGTAAAAGAGCTGGAAAACCATGCCACTCAAATTCAGTGGCACGTCTTTCTTTGAGACAAAGAGGGGAAATATTTTGATGCTATCTCTAGCCATAAAACCCTGATTATAGCCACTCAGAGTCGCCTTATCGGTGGGACAGGTAGCATACAACTTTAATAAATAAATAAAATAAAAATTACCACCTTCTGAGTCTATGTTTTCTTCAGCCATTTGGCCTATGCTTCATTATTTTTTTAGTATTCAGCAATTTTTACCTAATTATTATTACAGCCCTTCCTTGTTTAGTGGCAGCTTATAAATAAGTCAGTAGTAATAAATTAAAAAACATCATTTTCTGACTAATATGGGGGCTTATGCCCAAATGTTTGCAATGGACAACACCACATGCCGGTGCGAGAATAATGCTGGCATTGCTGCACAACAAAACTTTACCTAAATGAGGTCGCAGCAACCCAGCAATCTTTGCAATCTCTTTCTCTGTCATGTGCTTTGCTTAGCGACCATTTAGTTTCTGATACAGGACATGAATTGCATTTTAATTTTATTATTTATTCATTTCAATTATAATTTTAATTCTAAGCTGCCCTTCATACAAGTTGTTACAGCATGAAAAATGGGAGATCAATGCTGTATTTCTTCTTAGTCTAGGCAGCGATATATATATAATGTATGTACACAATGTAAGTAGAAAATGTATTTGTATATAAGTGTGCACACTCTGTTCCAGACACATACATACTCACAGAATTATGTAGAAATATCTAAACATTGGTTATATCAAAATGTTAACTGTTAAAGAATATAGACTTTGGTTTAGATTAATTATAAATAATGGAAACAGTTTTTGTACAGCATCCAATTAAATGATTATAAATAATGTATTGTTGAAGACTGCTATCTGGACCTCATCTAGATATGTAAGTTCTTCATATTACCATTCTATCATTAAAATAGCAACAAAACTAAAAATATTAGTCAATACAAGTGCAGCATACATTTTGATATTAGTTCTGTCTCCATATGTGCAAAAACAGTATTTCTATTCCTATTCATAGATTGAGCTTCTTAAAAAAATAATTATAATAAAATATAGAAGATAAACTTAATCGTTTGAATGCCATACAAATAATTTTAAGCAGATCTTTTAAGCAGAACCAATTCAGCAAATCTTCAATATTAACCATCCCCTACATCTGTTGCAGATGATATAAAGCTATTTATTTCCCTGCCTAAAATCCAGATTTGCTGTCTTCCATACTAGTGCACTTTGCATAGAGACGTTCTTCACTTTTAAGAAAACCATTCAGTTTCAAACACATAAGAAACAGTTACTGGGGAACCCTTCCTAATTCCCATGTAAACAAACTCCTTAGCATTCCCTTGCTTGTATAAACCAAGGGATTGAAAAGTCTTTGGTGGATTGTCGGAAGAAAAAAGCAAAACAGAACTTCATCTAAATTAAGGTGCTCCCGAAGGGAAGGGGCTACGTGTAGTATCATCAAGCTCACACTGTCATTGTTTTTTTTTTTGTTGTTGTTCTGGGGTCTTCTTTCAGTTGGGAGTCACATTAGCTTCTTTCTGCCGTAGTCTTTCTTTCTGTTGTTTAAGAGAAAAGGAGTTTATTATCATTCTTTGCTTTAGTTTTTCCATCTGTTTTCAAACTGCAGAAAGTATATGGTTTAGGCCAAAAGAATGGAACAATCTGAAACCAGAGTAGACATTAGCTTCCCCGTCCCTCCATTTGCTTCAGAAAATTAATTCCTGAAGTGCCACACTAAGACAGAAAGGATATGTTTTTAAGTACATGTCAAAAAGCCTGTACAATTAGTCAACAGTCTTTGTCTGTAAAAATTACAAATGTGAAAAAAATGCAGAAATTTAAAAGTGGTAGAAGTGAAGAAAAAAGAAATGATTTGAAGCCAACTACTTGTAGGGATTTTTCATTCCCTTTCCTTTGAAAATGAATATTTTACCCAGTCTATGTGGCAAACTGCATGATAATGTAATTGTAGACCAAACCCAATACAAACTTGATAGCCATACATTATCATACACTATTTTGGATAATTTCTACAAAATTAATTAATAGCAAATTCTCTTTTGATTTCATATACATGCTTGACATCAGTCTGTTCCTCAAATAAATAGCCAAATCTTTATATGTAACAAAGCTTCTACATATATTGTTACTAAATTGGACTCAATTCCCTCTAGCTAGCTGGTACCTGTATTTAGCATCTACATGCAGCAAAAGAATTTTCCATCTGTCTACATAAAAAAGAGAGCAGTCAATACCAGACAAAATCCAGCAACCTAGAACTTGTTCTTAAATAAGTTAAAATGACAAATTTAGAGAGAGTCTTACAGGAATGTGCTGTTAACTATCTTTTCTATCTACAGTGTCATATTCATATTTTAGAAATGGAATCTTGAAAAGCAAAAACAATGTCTGGGATTATTTAATTTATAGAATGCAGCAGGAAAGGATGCCAATACTCAATTAAGATTCAGATTAATATTTTTATACAGAAACATGTTGAGTTAAGATCCACAATGATTTTGTAAATTGGCTCCAGGTCATAATGTCATTGCAGGAAAAATCTTTTAGGAAACCTATCCTTAAATTGAAAATACATACTTGCTTTTCAATAGGTTAATTACATAAGAATTAACTAAAACTTCCAGCTATATTTAAAAGAAAACCAGAATCACAATAAGGACATAACATACCAGACTGGCAGTTGGATTGATTTTCCTAGTTTCCACTTTCTTTTCTGAAGTTAATTTGCTCACTGATTGCTGAGCCATTCGAAGTCTAAAACAAAATATAAGCAAGTATTATTAGAGCTTTAAAAATGATATATGTTCACCAGATAAAAGTTGTTTTCCTAAATAGCTATACTTTATAAAGCAAACACACAGAATCTACACCAATTCTCTTATCTGACAAATTTGGAAAAAATATTATCTAAATTTTTAGGGCTAGTATAAGACCTAACCTACATTAAATACCAGTGAGACTTTTCCTAACAAAATGTCTTTTACTGAGATAATCATTGATCCAACTCCTTAATCATATTAGCACTGATTGGGAACAGTTCCCCAGAGCTTCTCCAATCCAACCTGAAAATACTATGAAATGGTTTGGGGGTGTTTCATTGCAAAGCATGTGTTCCATTACTGAACCATAGTTCTTCTCTTGCAAGAAAGCACTTATCAGGCCAGTATGACCTTCCTTAGGGTCATTATGATGTAGTACTAACTCCAATCAATAATGACATCAAGGTGCAAATCCTGTGAAATGCCAGACATTACATTTTAACATCTCAGTTAGTACTGAAGACATATATTAAATTGTTATACGTTGGCTCTCTTGCTCTTAATTCATGGATTGTTCTTGATCTCTAATGACCATTTTGATGGTGTATCAGTACCAAGTGGTCCACACTACAAACAAATAAACAAACAAACGCTATATATTGCTACTACCTGGCTCACTGAGAGATCAAACTATAATTTTTATCCAACACTGGAATGTCTTGTTGAACAGAGCTGAGTATAAAGAAAATTTCATCCATGGAATTCAGCAACAAAACCTAAGCTTCTTTAATAACTATTTTGGTTGAATCAGCTAGGACTATAATAGACAATCCAAGTTAGTTGGATTACTGTATTATTGCTGTTTAGTGGCACAGAAGCTGAAATAATCTTGGCTAGCTAAATAGTATCAGTTGTCCATTTCTAAGTGACATTTAAAGTAACCCCATAAAAATTCTGATTTATTACAAAACACTGTCAGTCAGTGGCCCAGCAGATTACTTCAAAAATTTCAGCTACTGCAAAATATGGAAACAAGAACTGCAGTGCCAATTAGATACTAATTCAAAAAAGTGCAGAATTGGCTCCTTAATGGTTCCTATATCCTAGAAAACAATGGAAATAAGCAAGACTAGAATTTTCTATGGTAATACAAACAAGCAAACAATTTTCTATAAAAAATTAAACACTAAAACTTTCAGCCCAAATTGTTAATATTTCTATCTAGTTAATTTTGGGGAGAAGCATATTTTTAAATCTAAATGTTTTTATAGTAGGTCAAATAAAAAACACATACATAGTCACTCACACTTATTAGCCAATTCAAGATCATTATAAAAGTACATATTTTGTAATTACACACATTAAATAAAATTGTTTCCGTGTTAACAATATTAACTACCTTTAAAATATATTTTTGCTATTTGCTAGTATAAAATGTTCATCTTTTCAAGAATACATAAGTGTTGTGTCAGGGCTGAGGATGAAAAAAGGCTGCTTACTTAACCCCATGGCCTCCTTTTCATTCAAAGGATCAAGGGAGGAAAGGGTAGGAATTAAGGCATGAAGTGATTTGATACCAAAAGACTGATTTGGTATCAAAGCCAACAGGATGGACCTTCTATAACCAGCTGCTGCCATAAGACCTTCTCAAAACATATTAAATTCCTTATGATTAACAGAATTTGGGATATTGAAAGATTCCAACTATAATTGAGAGCCAATTTTGTGTAGTGGTTAAGCCATCAGGTTAGAAAATAGGAGACTGAGAGTTATAATCTCACCTTGGATATAAAGCTGGGCGAGTGACCTTGGGTCAATCACCTTCTCCTAGCCCTAGGAAAGAGGCAATGGCATAATGTCTGAAAAAAAATCTAACCAAGAAAACTGCAGGGATTTGCCCAAGCAGTTTCTGAGAGTCAGACATGACTGAATGGAAGAAAAGATCAATAACTAGAAAGAGTGCAGAGAAGAGCAACAAAGATTATCAGGGACTGGAGGCTGAAACATATAAGGAACGGTTGCTGGAATTGGGTATGTCTAGTTTAATGAAGAGAAGGACAAGGGATTACATAATAATAGTGTTCCAATATCTCCGGGGCTGCCACAAAGAAGGGGGAGTCAAGCTATTCTCCAAAGCACCTGAAGGCAGGACAAGAAGCAATGGATGGAAACTAACTAGTTTGATGATCATACTTCTATGCACTGCTCAAAGTATGAAAGGGAGGATTATGTTTATCCAGAATCAGGGGAAAGCATAGAAAGCACATGTGCATGGATGCAGAGTCATGGAAGGTCAGCAAGGAAAACACCCAATGTCCCAGGTCATCCAAGAACATGCAGTGTCTTTAGAGAAACACCCAAAAGGAACATATTTAGCTATTTCTGCTTTCTCCTTTCTTATCTATGGTGTCCCAGCCTTTCTTTGTGAAGTCTTTATCTTACGTGTGTCAGTTTTGCTGGGTGAATTGCTTATGTAACCAACAAGTATAAACATAGGAATTTCCTGTTATTCGGGGCTTCTCTCTTTTGGAGGAGCCCATCTTTGTTCAGCTGAATAAAAATGTAAAAGGCAACTTCTGCTTTCCTGTATTTTTTTTTTACCAAGCAACACCTCAGATCCTGCACAACAAATCAAAGAGAGAAGCAACCTAGAACTAAGGAGAAATTTCCTGACTGTTAGAACAATTGATCAGTGGAACAACCTGTCTCCAGAAGTTGTGAATGCTCCAATACTGGAAGTTTTTAAGAAGAGATTGGACAACCATTTGTCTGAAATGGTATAGGGTTTCCTGCCTGAGCAGGGGGTTAGACTAGAAGACCTCCAAGGTCCCTTCCAACTCTGTTATTCTATTCTATCCTATAGTATAATATCCTTTGTTAACAATTTTTTTTTAAAAAAAGTGTTCTTAGCTTCTTCAGGGTATGTTTAATAAATACAGAAATAATTAATTTTTATTTGGCATTTATTACTGCATACTTAATGCTTGCTTCAAATGATTTTCAGTGTGTGGGTAAGTGCACAATTACTTTTGAAAATGCATATACATCAATATTATTATAGGCTGAGTACATGCATAACATCAAACCATGATTTGTCACCATGGGAATAAATTTATAGGAAACAAAGCAAGTATAACAAAAATAAGTCAATTTTGTAATTAACGACATATTTTATATCATCAATTCCAAACCAGGTTTGCAGAATAACCTAATTTAGTGTTTTTCAACCTGACAACTTAAGATGGGGTGGACTTTAATTCAATTCCCAGAATTCCCCAGCAGGCCACCATCCAGTTAAAATCCATCCATTTTAAAGTTTCCAAGTTTGAGAAACATTGGACTAGATTGTTATAGGTGATATATGGAGGAATGGACATATATCATGCTGGAATATGATATTTTAGAATTTTCTTTGATATTCATATGGTAATATGAATGGAATTTGAGTTGTTTCTAAGCAATGTTTTGTCTATGGAACAATTTTGCTCACAACAGAAGGCTTGGTGAAAAAGAATTATGTTTTTTAAACATAATGCTACTGCCTCTTTTCTGATAGCTCCTGCCTCTCTTTAGTATGCTGGATTATTTTTCTCTAGAGCACAGGAGAGGGGAGTAAAACATTTTTCTCCACTTGGGCAGATGGAAACTTGAATACTTACCTATCTTAAAAAAAAATCCACAAAGAATAGAAAACCATCACACTGAACTCATTGTTTCTTCTTCTGTATATTTTTTTCCTTCCTAGCATTTTCCCACAAGTGCAAAAAATAAAACTTTAGCTGCATGCTAATGTTATCTAAGTATTCATATTCTAAATATCAGCAATTATCTAAAGCTTCATATTTATATAAATGTACATTCAAACTCTGGACATTTGCTGCAGTGGTCAAACCTATGAAATCACGTGAGGTTGAAAGAAAGTGCAGACTGGGACAATTTTGTTGAAAGATGGAAAGATACAAAATGTGCTCACAACTTTGATCTTTAAATTCTATATCTCACTGTTTCTCAACCACAACAACTTTAAGACATGTGGATTTCAACTTCCAGAAGTCATGATTCTGGGAGTTGAGGTTCACCCAACTTAAACTTGCTGAGGTTGAGGTTGATGAGCCGAGATGGTGCAGCAGTTAGAGTGCAGTATTGCAGGCCACTTTAGCTGACTGTTCAGCAGGTCAGCGGTTCAAATCTCACTGGCTCAAGGTTGACTCAGCCTTCCATCCTTCCAGGGTAGGTAAAATGAGGACCCAGATTGTTGGGGGCAATGTAATATATATATATATATATATATATATATATATATATATATATATGTAGGTCTTTGGTTGTTCGGGTTTTCTCCCACATAAAATTGGAAGTGTCTTGGCGACGTTTTGACGAAGTCCCATTCGTCATCTTCAGGCTGGTGTTTTCAGCTTCGTGCAGCAATGTGTGGTCTTAAAAGGAAGAAACAGCTAAGACCACACATTGCTGCTCGAAGCACGAAGCTGAAAACACCAGCCTGAAGATGACGAATGGGACTTCATCGAAACGTCGCCAAGACACTTCCAATTTTACGCGGGAGAAAACCCGAACAACCAAAGACCTACATACAAACACCCGCGAAAACCTCAGAAAACATATATATATATATTGCTTACTGGTGTACACCGCTTAGAGAGTGCTTGCACTTAAAAGCGGTATATAAGTCTCATAAATAAATAAATAAACACTTGCTGTAAAAGAGAGGAACAATACAGATGGAGTTTCTTAATTAATTCCTAATTAATCCAACTGAACGACACTGTTTATATTAGTAACCTTTTAAAGAATCAATTATCAGTTACTTGAAAGGAAGTCCTGATGAGGATTTGGTTGTGTTTTTCCTGACTTCATGTGACTGCTGGTGGTAGCGATGAAATCTTTGTATGCCATTTCAAGGGCAAATTGGAAATAGCTTCTATATTATGGGTAATTTCAAGTCTTAAGAGGACTTTCTCTTCTCTGACATTTTCTTTCTGAGCAGAAAAAAATGTGACTGCTGCTTAAGATTGCTGCTTGTGATGAAAGACACCAATGACCCACAATGTTTGCACACCTCTTTGTATAAAAAGTATAGTAATTTACTGAATTATCCACATCTGCATCTAATTTAAAATAGCTTGCTTAAGCAAATTTATGCTTCTAGTGTTGGACAATTAACATTGTTATTATGTTGAATGCCAACTACTATGTGGCAAGTTATTCATTTAGGCCCAAGAATAGTAATGTAGTCTTTGCTTGTTTAATATAAGGAACACACCACACACATACACACATGTTTTAAATGTTTAGAATAATTGTTAGCCTCCATCCAGCTTTTCACTAAATGTCACACGAGGAAAGAGATGCTTGCCTGAAAAAATTGTGTTCATTCCCAGCAAGCTACTATATTCCTTACTTTGCATTTCTGTGGCACATAATCTCATAATATTTTGCTTTTCATTTCCTGTATTAAAATAGAAGCTGGTGTATATTTAACAATAGAATCTGTTGGGTTTGGCAACAAATATACCAAAATAAATATTCAAGAATGTTAGAACTGAACTCAACACTATCATTTTATAGTTTCCTTTTATTTTATTACTAATTTGAATTATGTTATTTATTAGTCTATTTGCTCAGATCTTTTGTTACCTGTATGCTTCAAAAGTTGATTACAAACAATATAATTTATTAGGAAGCATAATGTATAACAGAGGTTTTTAGTTTTTTTCTAGCAACACCACTTTTTTAAAAAAATCCCATTACCCCTGATCAAGTGTCAAAGTTCAAAGGATAGAAAACTGGCTGAGTTAAAGGAACTTTTTAATGTGTGTATTAGTCTCTCACAGAACCACAACAAATTCTTGCAAAAACCCATGGGGTTCCATAGAACATAATTTAAAATAAAAGGAAGGAAGGAAGGAAGGAAGGAAGGAAGGAAGGAAGGAAGGAAGGAAGGAAGGAACACTATACATACTAGAAAGTTGCATTCTGGACAAATGAAACCTACTCCAAAATAATATAATGTGGAGTGGTCCAGGAGTATAGGTTTCTAGCCATGTATTCTTCTAGAATATTTATCCCATTTCCCTTCTCTAGACCCATTCCATGATTACTAAGCATTTTCAGTCATCATTAGGCTGGGTTCAGGAAGAAGGAGCGTTCCATTTCTGCAAACTTTCAAATCAATCCCAACCTGTTTTCTGATGAATGAGTATGGGATTAATTTGGCTGTATAAGAAGTGAGAGTCATATAAGTGAATTCAATAGGAGGGAGAAGTAAATTGAAATTTAGTAAGACTGGAAAACAATGTTATAATATGTAATTTAAAATTTATTATATTTTTAACGTGTTAACTAAAAATTAATAAAATCAGGAAATGATGGGACATGCCATGGCATGGAATTTGAGCTACACAGCAAGATACCCAAAAATAATCCTGTAAATTCAGTATAGGATTTTGACACTGTGCTAAATGTGGTCTGAATCCCATAGGTTTCCCTTTGATGCAAGTGTGGACATATTAACTTCACTTTTATTTGTTAGTGCTGTCTGCAACACCAATATTGCCTCACTTAAAGTTGTCCAACATGAAAATGCAAAGAAAAGCAATCTGTTCCAAATTAGCACAGCTCCTTTTTCATTTTACTAGCTACCAAATGGAAGGGGTTAAGAAAGTGTAATTAATCAGATTATGTGTTTATCTTTTTGTGGAGACAACATCCCTTTGGTCAATTTTCCTAGGCACCCTGAGGGAATAATCTTTCCTTGAGGTCCATTTGATCTCAAAGAAAACAGTGACGCCTGAGAAATACAGGAGTATAATTTGTTGAGTTTGAAAATGAACAGCTCCCCAGACTTCTAAAATAATATTAATGGCTTTATTAGAACCTTACCTTTCTTTGGAAATGTCTTTGTTCTCCCGTTTCCAAGTAGTCTTAAAGTCACTGCAGAACTCATACCAAACCATGAAAACATAATTCGGCGTGGTCTCCTTTTCACCAGATTTTGGCTTTATTCCATAATATCTCACCATTTCTTCAAAGCTGGATGATGTACAAGGGAAAAGATGGATAAATGTAAACTCACTGGGAAAATTCAATGGCAAGTTTGCTAGCACAGATTTCTGACTAGAAATTAAAAAAGAAATCAGGTACAACCAAAAACTGTACCACATATAAAGACCAGATGCAATATAATATATATTATAGTTTTTATTGCATCAGCTACCAAAGTGATAGAGTCTACATAAGCAATATGTAGAAAAAGCAAAAAAAGGTAAGATCTGAGAATGAATCACATTTTAAAAACAATTGTTTAGGGAAATGGCACTGAATTGTACCATTGTACATTCCCCCAATAAATCTCTAAATAATAGACTATTAACTCAAAGTCGTGGCAACCTCTCCCTAACTGAAGGTTTGCAGGTATTAATATAATGAAAATACATTATTTGTTCCAGAGCTAGCACCAGAAGATTGTGACCACTGGAGTTTGTGTCTTCCAAGCAAGTTGGAACAACAGGGATAAAGATGAGGTGAACTTATCAAGGGTATATTGCTTAAGGACAATTTAAGAGTTAAATTGGGGGGCACTGAGATCTAGAATTAAGTTTCTTATACTGAAGAAGGATATGGCTGGTGAAACTATGCATATGTAAAGCTTCAATGGACATTTTGCAAGGTTTTGGATTTTTGACCTGAAAGAAGACTAAAATATTCTTAAATGATCTTTTGGACAAATAGTAAGCTTATCATATAGTATTGTGCCCTGACTTCTGTTTTCTTCAAAAAAGTGACAGAATACTTCCCATGTTTTTAATAAAACAACCTTTCTTTCATGTGAAAAGAAAGCTGTTACAGGAAAACTACATCTTTCACTTTAACTCAGTCCTGTTGGATTTCTCTGTGTACTGTATATATTTTCATCTATAATTTAATCTCCCCACACAAGCTCTAACTGTATGAAAATACTGAAAAGTGTAACATGCATTTGAAGAAAGAATCCCAATCTTAATCCTAATTAAAGATATTTCTGAATTTATAATGCACAGAGTTAAGAAAACTAAAGAGCTTACCACTTTTGTGCATTGTCCAGGAGACTTTCCTCTTCCTTATGTTCTTCTACAGCTGCAAAAAACATTTTAAAATAATTTTAGAAACCTGAATGTGTGCTACATTTCAAGTGTTTTATAATTTCACCCTGCTCATAGAAAAAGGCATATTTGGAATATTAATATATGAATTGTAAATTAAGAAATTATGTCATCCTTGTAAACATTGTAGGGAAGAACACTGACTAATTGCCCTAAAAATATTCCATAAATACAGAACTGGTGTAATTGACTAAAACACTTTTAGAACAAAAGTATATGCTATTCTTACGATGATGAAGGGACTATTTGTGAGGAGATGCTGTACAGACCAATAATAAAGCACTTATTTTTGTTGTGTTACAAAGATGCTTTATTTACAGTGAAGGTATGCACAATTCACAATGATTTTGGTCTCCTTGTAGCTAATAGATTCCATATATTGTCCAGTTAATGGCTTTTTTAATCCATGGAGGACATATCCAACAAAAGAGATATTTGCCTGTATTTGTAGCTGTATCCCAGAATTACTGTACCTCAGGGTTTGTAGCTCAGGCTGAAACAACCAAGCTCAGAGAGCACCAAGAAATTTTAAAGGAAAAATATTTAGATGTTCAGGACCAAAGTTATCATACAAAAATATTTCAGATCCTGACAAGAAAGTTTACTTACACTTCTGTCTAGACTTCATTTACTCAGATCTTATCCATTTTGATTCCCAACATACAGATATATATCCTGGAAATTTTTTTGTGGAATTATAATGAAACATTTCCTACCAGGTGGCCAGAGATGATATTGATAGTGCTACATAGCTGAATTTCACAAAATATATGACCCATATATATGACAACTCTTCCCGTGTTTCCAAGGTTACTATAGACTAAATCTAGAAATCTATACTGATGACAAATTCCATAAAGCTTAGCTGTGTGAACCAGAGGTAGTTTACAGGTAAGAAATAGAGTCAATTATTAATCCAATTGTAATAGCTACAATTATCTAAACCATAATAAAAATGATGCTCTGTACACTTATGTATTCACCCTATTTCCAATAGCTTCAAATGGTTTCTAATATATAGACATTGATAAAATCAGGCTTAAGAAACTCTTAGTAAACTTGTGACTTGTTTTGTTTTCAATTTTGTATGTTATTCAGTGTTCCTTTGGTAGAAAGATAGCCATATAAATATCCTTAATAAATGAATAAATAAAATTAAGTTTGATAATGTATAAATGAGACTGGCTTAAATACAAAGTTGCTTTATGTAGGGTCAGAATTACAAGATTGTTCACCATATTTCTCCTTTTTCAGTGCAATCCCTGTTTTAATCTGATTAGATGTTAGCCCTTTGAGGTAGACTAGACTTGGAAACCAAAATTAAGAAGACCAAAACTGTTTTTATTTTTCTCTTTTATGGTGATTTATGTTTCTCCCTCCCTGTCTTTATCTATAAAGATAAAGGGGGTAGAGTTTAATCTGAGACATTTTCTCAAACTTCATTTCTGCTTTGGATTCAGATTTCTCTTATCTGAATGTTGCTTAGTTGCAGGTCTTCCTCCTGATTTTCAAGGTTATTCTAACAGTCCATTACATTAGAATTCAGGCCTGCCATCTCCAGTATCTCTCAGGAGAAACATCTTAGTGCCATCAGATTAGGAATTTTATAGACACCTTGAACAACTGGAAGGCAAAAAAGTGGGTTGCCATTCTCCATGGCCAATTTAGTTAAAATCTTTTTTCAACCCAGATTAGTTTGGTCTATTTAACAAACTTATGGAAGTAAACTATTTTTAAGTTATATATAAATATTTTTATACATGGGCTTGCAAATCGTAAAGTGTTACTTGTCCTTACACTTGAGATATTTTGGAAAATATCTTGACATTTTTCAACTACATGAGGCATGAAAGTTCAAATAACATTTTAAAATAACCCCAAAATACTGATTATATTTATACATTCCACCCATAGAACAAATCCAATTGTTTATTATCAGAGGTAATACAAGGAAACCAAGAAATTATGTTCTGTTTAAAAATGGATAATGTTGCCTATAAATTTGTCAAAATTGTGTTGAAGGTCAGTTTACTAGGCAATTATAGCAATGAAGCCAACTAAGTCAGATATTATATAATTCATTTTTCTTGGATATGTTTGTATATCAACAGAAAAAAGCTTTTCAAAGTTTGTTTTTTATATACTCAAGAAATGGAACATATTTTAAAATGTGTTTCAGTTCATATCCTCTTTTGAAATATAATACCAAAATAGATTGAGACCAATCATAGTATATGTCTCAAAACTCAGTATTTTTCTGGGAAACAACTCCAAAAATAATTTTTTCAAATATGATTCTCCTGCATACACATTATTAATCAATCATTATACCCCAAATGTGGTTAAACATGATAACTTTTAAAACATAGTATTGTTTAACATAATAAAAAAGAATATTTTTCATTTGCTTTATTCCAAAGAAAACAGAAAGAGTAATCTTTCTGAGATTGCTAAATACAGGCAAACAATTTAAGAAACTGGAAAATTGGTTTTAATCCCTTTTAAACAGAATATATATGAAACCAATCTGTTCAGCTTTTGAAAAAATAAACCAGACAGACTACACTTATAAAGATGAAGGATTTTTTAATGGAGGCAGTGGGATGGGGTGGGCTTAATGTGTTCAGAAGTATGATGAATTATGGTTAATAAGAATAGGAAACAGGTCATTTGTAAAACAGGAAACTGTCACAAATACTGAGCAAATAAGTATATTGGGTAATAGAGTTGCAAAAATTAATAACTGTACATGAACCCAACTTTTAAAAAAGCTTATGGATGTGGTTATTTGAGTTCTTTTCAGAAAGAACAGCATTATTTCCTCCTGTGGGATGCTTAGAATGATTTATGGAGTTGAGGTTATATTTTATAAACTGAACTTAGTAAAGATTGATTTCATACAATCAGGTAAAGCTTTAGGAATATAATATGTGCAACAGCCTCTCACACTTAAGGTAAATTTTCTAGAGTGCTGGAATGGAGAACGGATTAAAGAATTCTCTTCCTTCATTATGACATTTTCCTTTTACAAATAAACATTTCTGGTGGTCAGGAGCATAGGTTCATTTTAAAGGCATAGCAGGAAAATGCCAAAATTGAAATTAATTTTCTATGGATTTGTGTAGACTTTTTCACACTGTGAACTGCTTCATCTCATTATTCTTTTATTACCTCTCTATTGCTGGTAATGAATTATTCTGCCATATAGTCTTTTAGATCAGAATTAGCATTGGAATTGGAGAGTTTGTGACAGACATTGAAGGTATAAGAATAAATATATGTGCATTTTATATGGATCACATCTGTTTCTTTGCAAAAAAAATTGAAAAAATAATAAGAATTACAATATAATAATATGGCAAAAGTATTTTTTTAAATTTTGTAATTTAATATTTTAAAAATGAAAGAGAAGGAACAGCGTCTATGTATAGTTCAGTGTTAGAAAAGTATTGTAGTAGGTTTTGGTTCAGTAAAATTGTCAAACTTTAAATTCTTATTTGTATACCAAATTAGAGTATGGACAAATGTTTCTACTATTGGTTAGTCTATATATAAATATCAAAACAATAAATGTTTTCATAAACAAGGATGGTAAATAATACAATTTCACTGAAAAGATAGATACTTCTTCATCCCAATATGATAAATCTGTATAAAACCCATTCTCATATGAGGAAATTCCCCAACTTAGTGGTCATGGAGAGTAAATAATCTGAAGCTGAGATGGACATTACTCGGAGTTGGTTAGAATCACTGTCCTGAGTTGGTTTGAATAGAGAAGTCAAATAAATGAAATTAAAAACAATTAATTAGATTTAGTTACATTATACTTCATCCTTCTCCAAGTTGATGGAAAATTCTACTTGTTGAATCAATACATCTGAAGGAGTCAGAATGGGAAAGGTTGGTTTAACTTTGCCCTTTTAATACTTTTTTGATCCTGTGTTTACAATTTTTCATTTATTTTGATCCTGTGTTTACAATTTTTCATCTATTTAATCATATGTAAATGCAAAACATCTCTGAAACTTGCAAATGAAATATCAAATAGATTCCTAACCGACTTTGAGATCCAAAATGTAGAGGAGGGAACTACAGGAAAAGCTATACTAGATTTAATTCTTACTAATAGAGAAGAAGTGATGGAGTTGAAATTGCCAGAACTTTGGGCGAATCATATTGGAATTCAATATAATACAAACACAAGCAACAGAACATAATACAGCCAGTTTCTTAAACCTTAAAAGAGTTGAATTTAATAAACTCAGAGAGAACCTAAGAAAAATTCCATGGATGAAAATCCTGGAAAACAACTCAAGAAGCATAGAGAACTCTGAAAAATATGATCATAAAATCTCAGTCCAGAACAATACCACTGAAAAAGAAAAACAAGAAATCCAAGAAGAAACCAGCATGGTTGCACAAAGATCTCTCTGATAAGCTGAAAGACAAAAAGGACAAATACAAAAAATGGAAAGAGGGACACATAACTAAGGCAGAATACCAGAATGTAGGCCGAATCTGCAAAAATGAAGTCAGGAAAGCTAAGGCTCAGAATGAACAAAGACGTGCAACAAAAGTCAAAGATAATAAAAAAGTTTCTTTTAACATATAAATAACAAGCAAAAAGTCAAGGAAACAGTAGGTCCACTTAAGAGAGAAGATGGCAAGGAAATAACAGGCAATAGAGAGAAAGCACAGCTGCTTAACTCATTCTTTGCATCAGTCTTCACGCAAAAAGAAACGAGAGCTCAACTTACCAAAAACCTAACTGTAAAAGACAGACTAGAAATAAAAATTAAAATAAGCAAGAAAATGGTTAGAGAACACTTATCTGATCTTGACAAATATAAATTACCAGGACCTGATGGTCTACATCCCAGAGTTCTCAAGGAGCTGGCAGATGTTATCTCAGAACCATTGTATTATATCTTTCAAAAATCCTAGAACACTGGAGAATTACCTGAGATTGGA